CTCACTGCAGCCTCAGCCTCTATGATCAAGCTATCCTCCTGCCTCGGACTCCTGAGCATATGAAACTATGAGCACACTTTACCACCTCTGGCCTTAGCTCTGCATTTCTGACATTCAGTCTCTCCTACTCCCTACAAACACCAACCTGTACCTTCCCTGGGACCAAGACTTACATTAACAAGAAGATGAGGCACAGACAGATACAGAGCAGGGCCATGACACCAGCACCACCGAGGGCTGCAGGAACCACTCCTGTCCTGAGGTTCAGGCTCCCTGCAGAAAAGAGGGGCATGCAATAACGCACTCTCAGCACTCAGACTCTTCTCTCCCACCTGCTGGGCAACTTGCTCCAGGGCCCTGCTCAGACAGGAGATGAAGAACCTTGTCCTCCCCACCGCCAGTCCAGCCTCTCTCTCCTGCCATCCATCACTCTGGGATCCACGCCCCTCCCCTCAGGCCCCTGCCCTCTGCAATACGCCCCCTGACCTTGCAGCAGCACGACAGAGCCGCTCTGGGACCCATTGATGTTCCAGCCCTTGCAGCTGACTTTGAGGCCAGAGGTGAGCCCACCGTGGAGGATCAGGGAGCTGTTGGCCCAGGGCCCGGCTGAGTTGAAGTTGACCTTGAATGAGCCCTGGCTGCTGTTCCCCTCCAGTGGCTTCTCCCCAAGCCACCAGCACAGGGAGGGAGCCGGCCAGGCTCGAAAGGAGCAGCTGCAGTGCAGACTCTCAGCCTCCCAGGAGCAGGAGGGGCCCAGCAGCTGTGGGAGGGCTGTGGGGAGGGAGGACAGGACTCAGCAGGGAGCCTCTTCCCTCTTTAATACCGTACAGTTCCTGCTCCAGCTGCCCCCACACTCACAGTAAACTGAGAGATTCAGAAAAATGTGCAGGGAGCCCAGCGGGTGCTGAGCGCGGCAGGTAAAGACTCCTTCTTTTGCAAACTCTACTCGAGGAAGCTCCAAGATCCCAGTATCGGCGATGGGGGTGGCATTCGGGGCAGAGGATGCCTGGAACCAGCTCAGGTGTGCAGGGGGGTTGCTAGGAGCTTCACAGAGCAGCCGCAGAGCCTGGCCCTCCGGGACCAGAAGCGTCGAGGTGTTTTGCAGGATCTCTAGGGCTTTGGGGAGAGAGAGATGGGGTCAGGGAGGCTGACAGTCCCTATTCTTCCCTCCTTCCCAGGATCCAGATGACATCTCCCTCTCCTCCCCTGGCCATGCTGGCTTGGTTCCATCCCGGTTCAAACGCTTGGCCTTTGCACACTCAGGAAACTGACCAACACTGTCTGAGTCTCATGTCTCCAGAGGAGGCTCAATATCTCACCGGTACATGCCTGGACTGTGGTGGAAAGAGGACAGAGAGCCCTCCTGTGGCATTGGGAAATACAGTCCCATAGTGTGGCAGGACATAAGACTGAGAACGCAGGAGTGGAAGGGTGAGAGGAGAAGAACCACAGAGCTAGGCTGACTGAGATGAGAGGGACATGGATTGGTCCTTGGTGACTGTGGGAAGAACCAGACCACAGGAGGGATGGGAGATGGGAGGGGTCTAAAGTCTGTTCACCGCTTTGAGCAGAGTGCATGAGTGTGCACCTGTGTGCGTGTGCGTGTGTATGTGCATGTGTGCGAGTGTGGGTGTATGTGCATGTGTGTGTGCACGGTGTATGTGCATGTGTGCGTGTGCATGTGTGCGTGCATGGTGTATGTGCATGTGTGCATGTGCGTGTGTATGTGCATGTGTGCATGTGCGAGTGTATGTGCATGTGTGCATCAATGGTGTATGTGCATGTGTGCGTGTGCATGTGTATGTGCATGTGTGCATGTGCCAGTGTATGTGCATGTGTGCATACGTGGTGTATGTGCATGTGTGCGTGTGCATGTGCATGTGAGTGTGTATGTGCATGTGTGCGTGTGCGGGTGTATGTGCATGTGCGCGTGTGTGGTGTATGTGCATGTGTATGTGTGTGTGTGTGTGCGCGTGGGTAGTGTGTGTGCATGTGAGCGTGTGCATGTGTATGTGCGTGTGTGCATGTGAGTGTGTGCGTGTGCATGTGCGTGTGTGTATGTGTGTGCGTGTCTGCATGTGAGTGTGTGCGTGTGTGCATGTGAGTGTGTGAGTGTGTGCGCGTGCGTGTGTGCGCGTGCAGGTGCGCGTGTGCGCATGCGTGTGTGCGCGTGCGGGTGTGCGTGT